TGAGCCCAGGAGTTGGAGATTGCTGTGAGTGATGCCACAGCACTCTACCCAGGGGGACAGCTTGAGGCTCCGTCTCCAAAAAAAAAAAAAAAAAAAGAGTTTTTGTCTTTATGATGGTGCTTTCAGCTGTGTACAATGATGAGTACCCATACAACCATTCTGTTTTTTACTTCCTGAACAATATTCAATAAATAGCATGCGATATTCAACACTTCATTAGAAAATAGATTTTGTTAGATTATTTATCCCAACTGCAGGCTAATATAAGTATTCTAAGAAAGTTTTAGGTATGCTAGGCTAAACTATGATGTGCAACATTTATTAAATGTTTTATCAAATTATTTTCAACTTATATTGGGTTTATTGGGACGTAACCCCATCATAAGTTGAGGAGGCTCTATACATCATGGTCCTATGCATTTGTCAAAACTATAAATCACAAAAGCTGAACTTTAGGGCGGCGCCTGTGGCTCAAAGGAGTAGGGCACTGGCCCCATATACTGAAGGTGGCAGGTTCAAACCAGGCCAAAAAAAAAAAAAAAAAAGCTGAACTCTAAAGTATGCAAACTAAACAAACAAAACACATCAGTTAAGATGTTGGATATCCCAGAATGGAATGCATCTAACTGTATTAAGAGTTGATATAAATGCACTAAAGTCAGTGGGTGAGAAGAAGCTTAACTAAGTAACCTTAGAAATAGGTTTTTACTAGAAATTATAAGGTTAAAAAAAGGAACTGTACATAAATACTGAATTCAGTAAATCCTTTTCTCACAGGGATACAGGTAATTCTGAAACTGTTTTACATGTATACTGGGTTTGAACACTTCAGTAGGTGGATGATAGATGGCAAAAGCCAGGTTTCTCACAGTAAGCAAGGAAAGTTAGAGATAAATAAGAAAGGAAGGCTAGAATAACCCCTGTGGTGCTAAATTAGAGTCAGAATCATCAGAATGAGCTCATATTTAGCTTTATATAGAGAGGGGGTCACACCTGTAATCCCAGCACTCTGGGAGGCTGAGGTGGGCTGATTGCCTAAGTTTAGGAGTTCAAGACCAGCCTGAGCAAAAGCAAGACCCTGTCTCTAAAAAATAACACCCGGGCAATGTGATGGGTGCCTATAGAGCTACTTAGGAGGCTGAGGCAAGGGACTCATTTGAGCCCAAGAGTTTGAAGTTGGCTTGGCGCCTGTGGCTCAAGTGGCTAAGGCAC